CCAGTACTTACATCGTCGTACAAAGAGCCGCTGATGTCAGCCCCGTAGATGGGCGAGACAAAGGTGAGGTTCTTCCAGTACTTGCGTTCCAGGTCGTCGAAGTCCTGGTGCCGCGGCGTGCAGTACCTGTGAGCAAACAGCACGGGGAACATGGGCCAGGGGCTCAGAGCGTGCGCCTGATGCTCCCCACTCCTCGCTGAGCCAGCCCAGAGCGCCTGCTGGGTACACACCGAGGGAGGGGCTCTGCTCAGACCACCTGCTGTCTGCACCGCAGGGCGCAGCCCCCGAGGACGAGGACACGAATGTACTCGACTGCTGCAGGGAGAGCGCTCCCTCCAGACGCTGAGCGCGTACCAGACAGGCCAGCGGCCCTGCCTGGAACAACGCTCTCACCCCATCGCATCGGCCACTGGGCCTAGGGCACCCAAGTCACAGTGCACACCAGGGACAGCTGGAGCAGATGGAGGGGCACGGGCTCTGACGGCTCTCGTCATCCCGCTGATCGGCAAATACCACGGCACCGATGACAGGCCAGGACCTGTCCTAGGCGCTGGGGACAGCGTGTGAGTGAGCAGACAATGCTCTGCCCTCACGGGACACTTATGTTTGAGAGCAAACGCACCGCCAGAAACGCACGATCTCAGAGAGCGAGGGGGGCTGCGAGTAACCAAGCACAGGGAGGAAAAATTGCGGTGGTGTGTCAGGGAGTGCACCCTGTGCGCACCAGTGACCACAAATACGCCACAAACGCGCCTGTGAGCACGCGGCAGTGTGTGCGTGTGCCTGTGCCCTGAATGCACACGATGCACCTGTGAGCACACGGGCGTGTGCATGACAGTGCCCATGCATGTATCGTGTTGAACGAGGATGCACACAAGAGGTGTGTATGACAGCCCCTCTATGAGGAGGCACCATGAGAGCCGAGACGTCATGGGAGAGTGTAGAGTATACACTCCAGAGGCAGGGGACAAGTGTGAGCCCCCAGGGCACAGTCCTCAGCAGTGAGTGCTGAGGGCAGCGTGAGATGGACAGCGTGGCCCCAGGAAGGGTGCGGGTCCAGATCTCGCCCTCTCTGAACCGGGTGTCTCTGAGTGCGGGTTGCCGAGACCCCCGGGGCACCCAGGGTGGG